TAAATGCGACTTGTATGTGATCTGCTGTGTGAACTTCATACGACCCAAAAGTGTCCCGCATGCGCAGAAGAGGACACGACGACATCACACGTAGCGAGCGTGCTCAGTGTTTATGGAAGTAAACATGGATGGTAACGGTGGAGCGTATCTGCCACTCCCCCGCCGCCGCCGATGGTGGAAACAGAAGTGTGACCGCTAACTAAACTAGCATCAGCAGCCAAGTACTGCCTGTGTGTTCCGGACACTTCCACTCCGTCGGAGTGCTCCCCCGGGGTGGAAGTGTCCCCTCCGATCACGCCGAATATTAATCATTAATTGGGCTCAGAAACGTGCTATTGGGACTAGCCCTACTAGTTATTATAACAATTATGAACAATAATTAACAACTAATGAGCCTTCCAGCATCAAGCCCTCCTTGTATCTCGACCTCCGTCTTGACAATCCAACAGCCTTGCTATCCGACATAAAAGAAGGCTTTACATTTAGTGTCAGATTATAGAGTCACGACTGTATTTTCATCCCTAATCTGTCCATGATTGAAGCTCATGTTACTCATTCTGAGGAACCCTAGTGCAGGACATTTTGTAAGGGGTGCAGTAGCATTTTCAAAATGCTTTTCAGAGCTCATCATCTGTGACAGCTAATTTTCCTTATGTGCATCATCAGTGTAGTTTGTCATCGATGATAACACGCGTTATAGGAGCCGTTACGATCTCCGGCACATGAAACTGGGTTGATCTACTACTTTTGGTGACGAATAATTCTAAAAGATTCCTTATAAACCAAAAAATATTCAGACCAATATAGGATTTTTTCTCACTCAAGTCAACGTACTACATTTGGCTCACAATGGCAGGGAAACTCTTACAATATGATGTCTTTTCTGGCACTTTAGGAGCTCTAATATTTTAGTTCAGTTTCAGCTGACAGGATCCAGTACTTTGGAAGCAGGATCCTTTGTGAAAATGAAAACAGGATAAGAAAACGGCACTAGAACTAGTGGTTGCATAACTGATCTTGACATCTGTTCTTGAGGACTATTAAGGTTCGGCTGATTTGTGATATGCTCCCTCTGTTTTAATACATAAAATCACTTATGCAGGATCAAAACTCCCCCCTTAAGCGCGAGCAACAGAAAAGCTTCAAGCAAAAACTACAGTGACCTTTGCCTCACAAAAACAAAGTTAGTTACCTTGGTTGCAAGCAGTGGCTACATTTGGCTTGACTGTTGATTTATCTGCCTTGTCTTCCTGTTGTTCTTCCTCCTCCGCTTCCTCCTCCTCCTCCTCATCTTCAGATTCAGATTTAAGTAGGCTGCTGTAGGAGCGCGGTGTGATGTTACGCAGGGACTGTTTTCTGACTCCGAGTGCCATCGAGGACGATCCTTCGCCGCCATACTTCCAGTTCGTGTCATCGCTGCTTGACACGGAGCCTGACAAGCGCCTCGCATGGACTGAGTTACAAAAAAAAAAAAAGGTTCATGATTAATTATGTATACAAACTACATATATAGATGTACTGCCTTAATTCTTTCTAATTAAGTGAATGAGCACTATCTAATCAGAGACATACCTTTCAACGGTCTGATAATGCGCTCGAGCTTCGCTTTTTCAATCCGCTCACACCTTTTATATCTGGAGGGGAAAAAAAGAAATGACAAAATGTTAATTATGCATTCAAGGTAAAGCTCATGTGTACACCATCTAAAAATGTGTTTAACTGTAAGAGTCGACTTGCCTTCATTAACTGGATTGTTTAAAATGTGTTACTGGAAAGAAATGAAAAGTATTTTCATGTTTCATGTACAAAGATTCTACAAGGTCAGCAGTATTTTAGGCACCAATTAAACATTTCAGAATGTGACTTAGCACTACAAAACTTTTATTTAAAGTCCAAAATCTAAATGATTTTCCCCCAAACACGCTGGTTGGATGATTTGCATGGCCTGTCTTCAGCTGGATTTATGCTTATTTGCGTCCTAGTGGAGCATTAAATGGTCGTGTGGTGACGTGAACCGACGCTGAAGGTAAGTGTAAAGACTGGAACGAGGTCAACAGCTAGTCTGGCTACTACAAGGAGACTCCAAGAAGGTACATCACTTGAACTGAAGCAGCAACAAGTCAGATTTTACACAGTTTACAAGACAAAACCTGCTTATTTGTGTGCCTTACAGATGCTGTAGGTGGACCTTGGTGGACAGGCCAAGGCCAGCTCTATCTTATTGTTATGCACAGAGTGTTTTATCAATCCACTCATCTAACTCTGGTCAAAAAAGCAGACATATCTCCCTATAGGTTCAATAACCCCTAGAAAGTAGTGGCAAGTGTTTGCTGCTATGTAGAGCTGACATAATAGTTAACAAGCAAATAAATACAAAGCTAAGACAGGATAACATTTCAATGGCAAAGTAGGAATAAAACCAACGTATTCAAATGTATTAGAAGAGCTGATTCCGTTGTACTTCCTGCTCTGTGAGAACTTTCTGTGCATAAAGTCGCAAATGCCTTTCAAACATTTACTGATACTTCATCAAAAGCTCACCACTGTGTGAGCAACATCCCTGCAACATCCTGCAATCCTGCACAGTAAAATGATTCACCAGCCTGTCTCGGTATAATAACCTGAATCACGGTGTGACTTTGTGATTGATTTAACTTACATGCAGCATTGACGTTTGGTGTTGGGCCCGCCGAACTTGGGCTTATCCAGGCAGTTAATACACTTTGCACAGTCCTCTTCCACCAGACAGCCTTTGCAGTGTCCGCAGCGCCGGGAACGGACTCCTCCGGGTGCATACCGACTCAGCGCCTTCCTCTTTCTGAACCTGTGGCTCCGCCCCCTCCCTCTCCTCCTGCGCTGGATGTTTTCCTGAGAGACAATCCACTGGGCCCTGCCTTTATCAGAGATGTCATCGTCATCATCTGCCACATCTGCAGGCAAGAGACAGAGAAGATGGGTAAACGAGCCACGACACACGTTTGAATAAGCATTATGTGATGAGGGGGGGGCAACAACTTACTATTCAGTCTGCTGGAGACATTACAGATCTAAATGGTGTCACTGGAGATGTTTATATGCGCATTTACTGGACTTCTGTCCAATAGGTAAGCTTGGTTTCCACAGCTACACGTGACTACTGGCTGTGTTAGGAAACTAGAGATGTGCTACAGTAAAGTTGAACACTTGAGTCAAAATCTATTACTGGTGGAAACTCGCTTACCAAATCCTTCTGAACTTTAATGACATCCTCTTGAATCCCCCAGTGGTTGTATTTTAATGTCAACTGGCACAAAGCTACTTCAGACTTCAAACAGAATTCATACAAGCGTAGCGACTCGCTACAATTTGGGATAAATAAAGCATCTGGAATAACCTTGTGACAGGATCACGTTCTGCTCTTGGCACTAGATGTGTTCAGTGAGTCTGTTTGTCAAACAGCACTTCCTCACCTCATACTGAGTGATGCTCACTTGACCAGTGTTGGGTAAAGCTTTCCAACAGCGGTGGCTAATCTGTGTGTGACAAAAGATATTTTTGCTGGCAAATATTTTAGTTACAACTACATTGAGCTAACAAAGCAGTTTTTTTCTGCTCAGCATGTTAAATTTGCCAAAGATACCAAAATTGTGCTCATTTACACATTAATTTTTTTCCGAGTGTGTGTTTCCAACTGCAGGAGCGCGTCAGTTTGAGAGAGTATTGCAGCTCGTCGCTGTATTTCACTATGATACACTAGCAGCTTCGCCAAACAAACAAAAAAATTGTCAGAAATAAATTTGAGTCTGGATAGCACTAATAAAAAATTCAGGATTGAAGGACAGTTAACCTATCTGACAGCACGGTTGCCTACAGTACTAGGCCAATCAATTATATTACAATCAGTTTGTGGACGACGGCGTAATCCTGACTATTCTAGGTTGTGGTAACGTCAGCTACACAGAGGCAGCAGCTGATGCACCACTCAATGCGCTGTCAAGTCACCGTTCTTTATATATATCACATTTACAACAACATAAGTTTACCCATATTGCTTTGATGTAAACTGTAGGAATGTGATAGAGCTGCACAATATGCACCAAAAAACAACAAAACAAAACATAAATATATCAAATGCAGTCGTGACTTGATAATCCGATACTAAACGTAAAACCTTCTTTTATGTCGGATAGCAAGGCTGTCGGATTGTCAAGACGGAGGTCGAGATACAAGGAGGGCTTGATGCTGGAAGGCTCATTTGTTGTTAATCATTGTTCATAGTTGTTATAATAACTACTAGGGCTGGTCCCAATAGCACTTCCTGGTCTCTGGATATTCAGGCCCAATTAATGATGAATATCTGAATATTTGGCGCGGTTGGGAGACACTTCCACCCCGGGGGAGCGCTCTGATGGCTGCTGATGCTAGTTTAGTTAGCGGTCACAGTTCTGGTTCCACCATTGCCGCCACCACTATCCATGTTTACTTCCGTAAACACTGAGCACGCTCGCTGCGTGTGACGTCGCCGTGTCCTCTTCTGCGCATACGGGACACTTTTGGGTCGTATGAAGTTCACACAGCAGATCACATACAAGTCGCATTTAACTGGAAATGTGAAGGAACTCACAAAGAAAACGGATTTCACAAAAAAATCCGAATTGAGCATCAAGTCCTGCAGTGTGAACGTAGCCAATCTGTGGGATTATTCAGTCAGATAATACGCCATTATCCTGATTTGTGACATAAAATGTCCGCTTGTTTTTCCTAAAAACCTGTCGGATAGCAAGGTTTAGGATTGTTAAGGGTCGGATTATCGAGTCACGACTGCATTGAGGTTATTTTGAAACGCTGCAAAATTGAGTTATGATTTCAGTGAGAATCTTTTCATTTCTTTCCCACTGAAAAAACAAAAAAGCAGCATGTTCCCCTCATGTCAGGGGAAGGTTGTAATGGTCACATTTTACCTTTATGAAAAAAAAACAATCATACCAGCCAAAGCATTAAAGTACACTGGAAAAATGACATATATATATATATATATAGAGTAGAGATTTCTCATATTTATCCCGGCCGGACTGATCCAAAAAAATCCCCAAATTATTTTATTTTTCACATATCCTAACATTTTTTAAAGGGCTCCACTACTTTATTGTATTTTTTTTAACAACAAAGTGCACCGCAAAATGAAACCAACCTGCTACTACTCTCTGGTGGACAAACGCTAGAGTGATGACACTGTTTTCAGTGTTTATGTCCTTTAACTTCTTTTTATCTCTGCTGACAGACACCAACGCACAACGAGACGACGTCGGCTACCTGACTGATTTATTGGTCAAGCTCCGCTGTGCATTTCTTCAGTGTCTCCCAGCAGTATACGGTAATATCTAATGACATACTTGATCAAATTAATGCAAACTGGACCCGGATAAGTGTCATAAAATGGATGGATGATGGATGAGGGAGATATATAGGTTGTGCAGCAGCACGAAATCCTGAACAGTTTGACGCCTCAGGCTGAGTTTTAATCATTTATTCATCTATTTTGCTATTTTAACTGCGTGTCCTTTTATGTGTAATTTAATCCTGTGTAATTATGTGTAATTATTTAATTATGTGTACTCTGTGCTGCCTTCCATCTGTTGTTGTTGTGTGTCCACATTTCGGCCAGCTTTGTAGAGTCAAAGTCACATTTATACATTTATGCATGATGGTGAAAAAAAAAAGGACTGAACAGCACAACTCACAACAATCCTTCTTCTAGTTTCGAACGACCCACATTTAGGAATATTTATACTAACATTACTGCCTACAGACAACAAAACATGATTAATATGAGATACTTTTGTAAATTAAATTCAACACTTTAAGCCCACTTTAATACCGTTGATGGATTTTTTTTTTTGAAGAAACTGCTTTTTAAGAAATGATCCACAAATACTCTGAAACTCTGAAATAAACTGAAAGTCCTGTTTGGTTGAGATCTCTCCTTTTGTGTTGTGTTGTGTATTAGTTTCCGACAACTAAACCAGATCATTTAACAAGCAAACTAAGTTCAGTTTACATATGATTTACTACTAAAAACAAAAGTACAGTCATCTACAAAATTTACATGGCGGGTAAAATACATAAGAATTGGAAGGTGTGAATTCTAACTTGTTCAATCCGTCAGCTCCTTCCTTCATAAACCTCAGCTAAACCCACTGCACATACACAGTGCAATGCAATCTGTAAAGTAAAGTGAAGTTCTTTGTTCTACCTAAACAGACACACACACACGGAGATGGACTGTACCTTCGGCTGCAGGAGAGCAGGTGATGCCCTCTCTCTCATGAAGCGGCAGAGCGCTGAGTCTGGGAATGTCATCCGGCACCATGGCGCGAGGCTGCCCCAGAGCCACTGCTGCTGCCCGACACACATGCTTGATCCTCGGACCGCCAAGCGGCTGCTCCTGCGCGCGCACACACACACACACACACGGAATAAAGACGATGAAATGTGGAAATATTTGAATATGACAAATATGGAAGCATGTCTCATGGATACTGTAACCCAGTTGTTTATTGTGATATCAGCATGAAGCACAAAGTGTAAAAACAAATCCTTTACTAGCGATAAAACATTGATTATATTGGAGGTTGTTCTCTTTGTCTTTGATTGTTTAACTTACTTTTTCTGCTCCATGAATAAAAATGAACAGGCAGCCAAAGCACACGTAATTACAACAAATGAAGTGAACTCCTGCTGCGTAAGTAACATAAAAATGCACATTTACAAATTAAAAGTATTACCTGAGGACTAACTTCTTTGGGAGACAAGCCGACTCTCCTCCTCCTTCCAGCCACTGGCACGCATGTTTCTCTAGTACCCAGCTATTGTTCCAGACCAGGAAGAAAAACAAGGTTTAGGAAAGTAAGAAAGAAGAAAGCAAAACAAACGTTAGATGTGTAATTCTGCTTTCACTGTTATTCACTAGTCTGGCCAGCAGTCGTTAACAGCTGAAACTGTCAAAGCATGGATTTAATAGTAGTTTACAGTCTTTTGTGTCCAACGATGATTTTCAAAGAGCAGCAAATCAACTCTTACCTGTGACAACTTGAGCTGCTTCTGCTGATCGATCTTGATGAGCTGGACTTTGGCTTTCTTCAGCAGGTGCAGCATCCTCTTATTGGCTCCGCTGAGACCAATTCGATGGCTGGGCCCGCTGACTTCCAACGCCTCGCGATTCTCCTCAGTCACGATTTCTGCTTCGTCTGTGTCAAACGGGACGAATAAAGAAACTCTAGTTAGATGATTTACAGGAAAACGCCTTCAAACAGTCAATCACTCCACTGGAAACAGGCCTAAATGCAATTTATATATAATTCAAAATGTCTACACTCCTGTTTTTTGAATAACTTGACCTGTCTAATAGAGCAAAACACTTCAAAACTGCATAAATAAATTTTTTTTTAAAAAGCTAAAGTGCTTTTGTTTCATATTTTTTCTCAGTTAAAACTAAACTCAGCTGTGTCCTCCTCTTAAAAATATTCAGCTATACTGAGCCACTGCACATTAAGCATTTGTAAAAGCACACAAGAGCTTCAGTAATAATCACACAAAAAGGAATAATCCATTCTTACTCTTCTTGTCTGTGTCTTCTGGTGGCACCTGCAACGGCGTCTCCACATCAGTGTTTACCACCACGGCTAGTTTCCTCACAACACCTGGAGAATCCAGCTCTTCCATCATGATCTTGGACTTCCGTCTCTTCTTGCTGTGAGAAGCCAGACTGTCGCCTTGATCTGTGTATTCCTCCTGAATGTCAGATTGCCCTTTCTTTTTCTCGGCCAGCTTTAAGGTCAGCTTCTTGAGGTTCTTGTAGATCTCCAGGTGGCTCGTGCCTGGACTGGGCTTCGACGACATTTTCGTCACAGCAGAAGGGCTGTCAAACACAGATATGGAGTCACTGTCTGACTGCAGCAAGTTGCCATCGTAGCCTGACTCGTGAAGCGATGGGCTCGGTTTTCCGTCCTCTCTCTGTTGACTTTTGAGCCATGTTGACAGGGAGCCCTTTGGAAAGGGGATCATTTCCTCGTCCAAGAACCTCTTTGGAGCTTTAATAACGCGGGACGACCGTGCGCTCATTACAGGGGTGGAGGAGTTGTTGGAGCTCTGCTCGGAAAATGACCTGGGTTCACCCTCTGATAGAGCAATATTCTGATCTTCGATCTGCGGCTCATTTCCATCCGTCTCTGGGGCTGGAATGGGTTCTGGTACGTAAGTGTAAAAAACACGCCTTGTGCGAATACGACCAAGTTTTGGACGTTTGACAGTTGGAGCGTTTTTTGATTGCTTCCGCTTGTGCCCAAACAAAGATCTGCGCTGATGTTTTTTCCGCACTCTTTTTTCAGAAGTATCTGCGGCTTTACACTCAAGAGGCATCGCTGCCTCTTCTCCGCTCTGAGCACCAGCCTCAGCTCCAGCCTCTGGAGAGGCACCCATGCCTTTCGCTATTCTCTTCCTCTGTCGTTTGTGAAACGACAGAGCGACTGCTTGGGATGTGCGCCTGGCGTTCCCAATTCGAAAACCCTTTATGCCTTTCACAGATCTCTGTGTCTGGGACTGGTCTGTGTCTGAGCCCTCTGACACCTCGCCTTCTTCTTTGACCCTTCGTTCAGGTTTTTCTAGGCCCTTACCTGCTGTCTGCGTTCTCGTGTTCTTATCTTCCTTGGTGCCACCAGCTGAGGTAGCGGCGGTTTGGTTTTGCGTGCTGTGTGAATCTGCTGTTTCTTCTGCTTTCCTGATAATGTCAGCTGACGTTGCGCTGCTCTGTGTACCTGAGGCCTGGTTGTCTGCTTGTTTGGCTTTTGCAGGGAGAGCTACCTGCTTGCCGTGCAGTTTAATTACCACCTTTGGTATTTCTTTGCCACCCTGGTCTTCTTTAGGAACTCTTGGAACAATTTTCCCAATTAGAGCTGGTTTTGGGGTCTTAGGCATAATTTTTCCAATAAGAGGCTTTGCTTCTGGCGAACGGTCTGAAGCTTGGGGAGATTTTGCTTGGCTGGATGACGACTGTGGTAAAGTGCCAGAAGGTTTCTGTGGACGAACTGTTGTGGTCCCAAATCCAGTGAAATCTTCCTCCTGGAGAAAAAATAAAAGTACAGTCTTTAAGTCAGTATAATAGTATTTTGGACGTGTTGTGATGAGGACAAATCTGTTGGACAACCCCTACTACACATGACAACACAGTCATTAGCTACACTGGTTACAGATGAACTAAAGATTAAAGAAATGTGTAAAATAGCCACAAAACTACATCCATGGGAAACAAACGAACACTTTTGTAACTGACTAATATGCAGATTGTTGTCTTAAGCTCAGTAAAAAGTCAGAAAGTGGTGGAAAAATGTTGGGTAAACTTTACCAATAAATATCTGGTTTCATTTACCCACCCACCCCAAAAATAATCATCCATCCATCCATCCATCATCTATACACCGCTTAATCCTCACTAGGGTCGCGGGGGGCTGGAGTCTATCCCAGCTGACTCAGGGTGAAGGCAGGTTCACCTGGACAGGTAACCAGTCTATCACAGGGCTACACTTAGAGACAGACAACCAAGCACACTCACATTCAAACCTACGGACAATTTAGAGAACCCACGCTGCACAAGGAAAACATGGAGACTCCACGCAGAAAGATCCCGGGTGTCCTCACCGGGACGCAACCCAGCAACCTTCTAACTGCGAGGCAACGATGCTAACCACCAAGCCACCTTGCAGCCCCAAAAATAATCTACTTAGAAAAATATTAAGAAATGATTAGAACAATTACGTTGATAATAAAAACAGCTGCTGATTATTTTTCTCTGGGTCCACTAATCACTTAATCAGCCCGTTTTTGAAACTCTCAGGTCTGATAAACCTAACAAACATAAGAGAAGTTGAGATGACTGGTGAGAATCAAAGTCATAAAACGACCACTTTGTCTGCTCTGCATTCAGTTTAAAACAATCATAACGAGAATGTTCTGAAGGCTTTTATGAGTGTGTTAAGCAGGGGAGGTCCCGGCCACTGGGCGTTCACCTTCTTGCTATCATAATTACTTGGAAAAGTACTACTGAAGTTATCCTTAAATTATAACAAGCGCAACAACTTCTGACAAATTTCTGTGTTCATCATTTGATTATCGGATATTAACTGAATACTATGATGCAGTTTCTGCACTGCTCTCTACTCTTACTCCTGTGTTACATCAGTAAAGTTCAAAAGCACCAAATGAACCAGTTTGTTTTCAATCTGTAAGTCAACTGTAAGTAATGACTTGGCGTATTTTCTCCCCGTGCACATGTGTGATATTTAGCTGAACGTACTGCAGTATTTTCTCAGAAATTAATCCAGCACTTGAGCAATAGGTGGCAATTAAAATCTGACAGTTTTTCCATGAAGGGTCTCAATATAGCCACTTATTGAAAATGTACCCTCACACTCTCTTTATAACCAGAGTTTAAACAGAACCTTTAAAAACACACCCAGCCTCCAGCATCTTCGAATCCGGGCACCTGTGTAGATCAAAAGCACCCTTCAACTTAAATTCCAATTACTTCACGTGCAACATAACGGCTCCACAGACTTGTCATCGGTAAAAACCCTCCTAATGATGAGATCTATTTCACAGCACTGCAGAGCACATGAGTGTGCAGCACTCCAGCTGAGCAGCACCCACAAGCTTTAGCGTGAGCCATGTGACTCTGTTACAGTCCACTCTAAAAGGATTGCATCAGTGAAGCCCAACTGATGTCAGATACTAAAGCTCCTGCGCTGGAGATTAAATAATATTATTAGATCGAATATGGCATTATATCCTTACAACTATCCTGCTGGGGTGGGGCTAAAACGGAGACTACTATAGGAGACAGTGATATCCAACACTGAAGGTATGAACGTAGTACAAGAGATCTGTATCCTTTTGTATTTACCCCATACCTGTACATCATTTATGGTGCATATTTGCATCTTTAATAAGTCAAAACTCCTGCAACACTTTAGCAGAAAGAACAAATTTGTGGTGAGTCAACTACACTTTAGCTTGTGGCCTTAATCAGGATCATCCAACGCAGTTCTGAAGTGGGTGAAAATGTTTTCACAGTGTCTACAACCAATTACCTAACGACTTCCTGGGTGAATTTTTTGGTCAGTTCACAATATTAAAGCAAATAACAGTTGACAGGACTTTATGAATGTCCGGCTGACAACATAACCCGTCTAACAATCAATATGACCTGAATTCAAGCAAATCCATACATGACGACTGCAGGCTAATGTGAACAGCGTTTATTTTTGTCAGAGCTCATGCAAGTCACGTGAGTTTCATTTAGATCATTAAAAGAGAAGAGTTTTGATTCAATACACCTTAATTGAGGAAGGTGGTGATGATGACTGTTTGGTAAACAAAGACTATGCAAAATTAGGTTTCAGAAAAATTCTGTGCCTGATTCAGTTTTTCTTAATTACAACGTGGAGGAGGTAACGTTTGTTTTGCATCCCACGTTAAGCCTGCGTCCAGCACACCGAGCAGTCAGCTGACAGCTCCAACGTGGAGAGTGTGATCCCCACGTTAGCAGCAGCAGCAGCAGCGACGTTTTAACTACGACGAGATTAGCAGCCACAGGATGTCAGCACAGGGTGGGAACTTCAAGTCACCAAACCGTATCGGGGGGACGAACAAACAAAGACAGCTCCTGGTTTCCACAACAAAACCGCTCCACGAGTGCTATCGTGCCGCCAAAGTTTCCGCCTAATGTCCTTTTCATGCAAACAAACTCAGCTGGACACTGATCTCTGTGTACGCAGTGCTGCTGCAACTTACAGCAACGATAGGGCAAATTCACAACAGACAATGAACCGTGAATAAATACGAGCAGAAGTAAACTAAAAAATATTCACCTCACAACCTATCTGAAGCATTTCCTGCACGCAAACGCTTAGTGTTTGGAAGCTAAGTTGCCGCTAACTAGCTGTGCGTTAGCTAAAATGCTCTTTGTAAACAACAAATACATGTTTAAATGTTCATTAAAGCAAACGGGCTTTAATAAATCCATTTAAGCGTACACTTTTCCCTCTAGCTACCATGCTATTGTTAGCCTATTCACCTCCTCGCTGCTGCTGGAGTCGAAGCCCGCATCTCTCTGCCGACTGTGCTTTTCCGTCACCCCGAGCAGGCGAAGCAGGGACGGGTCCTCGCTCAACGCCAGGCCGATGTTGACGGGCCTCGGCCCTACGGCAGCCAGCTCGCCCTCGTCCGAGCCCAACCTTCCGCGTCTGGTGCGTTTCTCCGACCGCAGCCTGCTGCGAGCCGAGCACGGCCGACCCGGGAAGCGAGCCCGGGCCGGTGCCGGGGTGCTGAGGCCCGCGACGGCAGCGGGAGATGATAATCCGCCTCCTGATGCCGCCATTATTTACTACAACAACACGGACGGCGCGCGGGCAGAGGGAGACTGCAGCGATGCGAGAGCCAAGATGGACTGCTCCGAGGCGAAGGCGCGAGATAGAAAGAAGCGGCGGTGCATCATGGGAAAGCGAACACGGTCGAATGTGGGGGAACGCGGTAAGACACGCCGGACGACGTCGCCTGTGTGGAGCAGCTTTCTGTAGGTATCAAGGATAAATGTTTGGATCATTTTCCCTTCATGGACTGAAAAGTGAAGAGTCCAGACCGCATTCAGAACATTTACTGAAGCAAAAACTCCATGTCTTAACGAAAAATACCCCTGGATTCAAAAGCATGTAAGTATTATCACCAAAGTTTACTAAAAGTTTTAAAATTTAAAGTACAAATTGTGCATTCTGGTCATATTCTATGAATCAATGTGTGTTTTGTACTTAATTCTTAAATTGCAACGTAACAACTAACAAATAACTATGTGACCAATCATTGTTTTTTGGAGGGACGTCTTAACCATTTATTTTAATCGCACAAGGCAGTACAAACATTTGATTTTAGTTTGTGTGTGTTTTGTTTGATTGTTTTTTTTCTTTTTATGATGGAGGAATGAAATTAGCCTATGACTAACTATGGTCAATTTACAGACATGTTTTATAAATGCACAATTTCCCTGTTTGGAAAAAATATAAAATTATATTAGTGTAACAAATACAATAATATCATTATGAAATAGGATAAAATGGACATATTTTTATTTCCCCAGTCTTTGACTAGCTGTACTTAGTTACTTTCTACTTACTTACAGACAAAACGGTCATTTTTCTCAGTCATAAAGCAAAAACTTGTGTGATCAAAGTCAAAACAATGACCTTTTGTGTCATTTCTACAGTATAATCAAGTACATCTGCTCAGAGTATATCCAGACAGACTTTACAAGTTCAAGTTTTTCACGTTGTGATTTGCTGCTTTTTGTTTTCTATAATGTGAAGCCAAATGTAAACGTAAACTCTAACGAGCATTTTTTCTAAACTCATATTTCATAAACTAAATGATTAGCTGACAAAATAATCTGCAGATTCATCCATAATGAATCTAACTTTCAGCGGAGTACTTTATACTGTCAGTGGTTTAGATTTTACAGTTTGTTAATTAAACCATTATTTAATATCAGTATTATTATTCCTTAGAGAAGCACAAAATCAGAATCTTCCAAGATTTTACCATTAAAGATCGAGTGCATGGAGGTTGCTGTCTATTCATGCAACTTCCTAGAATACAATAACAGATAGAAAATATGAAATTTAAGTTGCTAGTTTGCTGGTTAACATGTTTCTTAATGTTAAGTCCTTGTAAGTCACAAGTATGGGATTCTTACGAGCCTAAATATATTCCAGCAAATGTCTCGTGGTTGGTATATTTCATAAATGACAGATATGCATCTCCTACAATTTCCCTAAAATATGGTCTAAAATATATATATTTTTGAAATTTTCTCATAATTACGATTATGAAAACAAAAACTCAGTTCATTATTTGAATCACTTTAAATTTAAAATGAATAATCCTGAAAAAAAGTCTAAAAAAACAACTTTTACTATGAAATATTACAACTGAAAGAAGTGCTTTTCATGTTGCCGCTCATTCTTCCATTTACACACTCAGACAAAGTGACAAAGACTCCACAGAAATTTGACTAGTGTTTAATGCAACAACTATCTACTTCTTTAAAGAGAAAATAAGACCTCAAGACAACATCACTGAAGTCCAGTAGTAGAGCATCCTATACACATGGCCCACTTCTTGGATTATATTATGCTATGTCTTAGTTCTTTTGTGCAATGGTCACATTTCTGAGTTCTCCTGAAAATAAAACAGTTCAGGTAAATATAAAACATTCCCACAGTTAAGGGAGAATTAGCGTGTTACTCTACAATGAATAAAAAACATTTCAGGTAGAATAGAGGTAATAAGGACGGCAAAAAGGGTCTGGATTTCACAATGAACATAAATCACAGTTATGTACAGAACAGTAGAGTTTTATTCACAAGTGTAGGATGTGTTTGCAAATGCAATTAAAAAACTGTGTTGCATAACCTTCACCAAACTCTCACCCTAAACTTTTCACATAAAAGATCTTCCTACACCGACAATCATTTAGATGAATGATGTAGGACGAGACTGCAGTCTGTTTCCCATATATTATCTATTCTCTGCTTCATCCTCTCCCTCAGTGTGGGTGTTCTGATGGGCCTTAAGGGCACTCTCCCTGGCAAAGCTTTTTCCACAGGTCGGGCTGGTGTAACCAGAGTCCTGAGCTCTGGCCACATGAGCATCGAGCTGCTCGGGTTGAGCATCACTCTCATCGCTCTGTGTGAATGTGTCAGCCGTGCGAGTGGGAGGTCCATGTTTCCCCCTCTTATGCACCCTCAGGGCTGCAACAGATGGGAATATGAGATCACAACCTGCTTCAGAACAGGGAATTTTGAGCTCAGCGGAGGAGCAACCTTCAGTCGGAGAATCATTGCATTCTTCGGATCCCTCTGCCTCCTCTTCTTGTTTGATCCTCTTGCTGTCAGTCACCCCTCCTTGAGCTGCGTTCTTGGGTTTACGGCCCCGTTTTTTGCCTTGAGGCTTAACGTCACAGTTTAGATCACTCGCAAACTTTTCCTGGTGCTGCAGGAGCTCTTCTTCTGTCTGGAAACCACAACCACATTTGCAGCACTGGTACGTGTTGATGTCGTCGGCCACCACGGGGCGCTGGGGGTGCACCGCGATGCGATGGTTGCGAAGCCGCGAGGGACTGGGGAACAAGGCGCCACAGTCCCTGCAGGGACACCGTCGCTCTATGCATTCATGTCGTCTGTGTTTGTTCAGCTGCAAGATATGAAACATTCAGTCATTACAGAAAGTAAACAAACAACATGGCAATATTGATATGAGCAGGTTTTTGGAGTATGATGATCATTTAAAAAAAAATCTCAAGAAGCAGCAAAGGTGTTTGAGGAATGCTGTTGGTGTTGAATCTCAATTTGCTTTCCTCTTTTTGGTACGGAAACGCCTCGTTCTCTGCTTGTAAAGGTGCCAAAAGTTGATAAAAAGTCCCAAAAACATGAGAACAAGACAGACGTGCAGGACGTAAGAGAAGCTGATGGAGGTACCGATGGCTTTAGGAAGAGGAATGCTGAAGGGTTTAGTTTCGTCAAAGATGGGAATGGATTGTATCACAAGAAAAAAAAAAAAACAGACTGCTGTGTCCTCACCTCTGTGAAGGTGAAGAAGCTTTTCCGGCAGTACGGGCAGCAGAAGGGCTTCTCCTCTGTGCTGTGGGTGGCCTGGTGCTGGCTGAGCTCCTCAGAGGAGGAGAAGCACTTGTCACACTTGTAGCAAGTGAAGACTGTATTAGTCTGCAAAAGAATTGAAGAATGACAAGAAAACTGGTTAAAAATTAAGTCTTCCTAACATAGCATTACCCAGTTTGTCCGACACCACTGACAAACTCGTAAAAGATCCCAAACAACACAAACTGTATCTTGGCCACAATTCTTTCATAATTTAAGGACACAGCATGGGGAAGTGTTCTACTGTGTCACATTTCCAGCATAAACTATGAAACTTTACTGTTTCTAGCATCTGTAATGTAAAGATTTGCTGCTTTTTGTTGCAGCAATAGTTTTCTCTTCTGAAATTATAATTGGGTTGTGCAGTATTTTTCTGATTTTCTCTTTGGTAGTTTTTGTTTTTTATTCATATTTCACAGGGCTACACTTAGAGACAGACAACCAAGCACACTCACATTCACACCTACGGACAATTTAGAATCACTAATTAACCTCAACATGTTTCTGGACTGTGTGGGAGGAAGCCGGAGAACCTGGAGTGAATCCACGTGCACGGGGAGAACATGCAAACTCCACGCAGAAAGACCTCGGTGAGGACACCTGGGATCTTTCTGCAAACTGGTGACCTTCTTGCTGTGAGGCAACGGTGCTAACCACCGAGCCACCTTGCAGCCCCATTGACAAAATAATCTGGAACTTATTTCATAATGAGTTATAGCCCCATTTATAGAAAGCACAACAGTAAAAATCACACTTATTATTAGTTTATTAACTTGAAACCCTGGCTTTTTGTCCTCTCTCAGCGTGCCTTTGCCCCTACCTGCTGCAGCTGCTGCTTGTACTGGTCCCGATGACTCTTCCTCATGTGCCTCTCCTTGGCTTTGGAGTTACAGAAGGTAATGAAGCACTGGAAACACTGCAGACTCTCATGCTGATCTGCATCCCAAAAAGAAGATTAGTTAACTGTTTATACACCAATATAGCTGCATCACATTATGAAACAGGACTTTGGCGGTTAGATCAGGCTCACTGTCATGTATGCACTATAAATACTTTACAGTTGGCTTACAGGGCTGCACAGGGGGGACCACCGGCTCGGACTTGATTTCTGCCGAGTTGGACCTCTTCTCATTTCCAACGATGACCTGCTCTATCTTCATCATGTCCATGCTGATGCATTTACACACCACAACAGGCACGTGAAGCTGCAACACGAAACCAAACACGCTCAACGTTAATTATGACTGAATATTCAATTAGCCGGCAGAGCTGAAACCGTTAATTGGACAGAGCAGCAATTACAGTAACGAGCTGGCGTTCAATGCGTTTCAGCAAAAATAATTAAAGAATCGTGGCTTCTTGTGCAATAGACTAGTCATGTAATAAATAAAAACAGAAGACGTGAGGCCCGAGCTGACTACCTGACAGGGATGGAGACCCTGGTCGACATGCACAGCTGCAACTAAAACAGACGCAATTTGTGCGCAAATATTCAATTATTATTTTAATTGTGTTGTCTTCTATTCATTCCGCTCTTGTTTTTGCGCACTTCCGAGCTGCACGCATGCAAACAGCCGCGATTCATTTGACTCAGGTCTTTGTAAACAATTCAAAAACGCCTTCTTACCGTTCGACCGACGCGTCCACCGAAATGAAGCCGCGAAGTGGAGCCTGCCCGCGTCACGTGACAGGGACAGGGTGTTATCGCGAGATTAGGAAACGGCTTCTTGGCCCTGGAAAGTACCACTGCATTGTTTACAGAGAGGATGTTTTAATCAGCTGAACTCTCCATCAGGACAAATGTCAGTTTTTAAAAGGGGAAAATCGTGCTTTATGTTGTGTCAGACTGTTCACACGACATTAAATAGAACCAGCATTTTAAAAATATGAGGTGTTTTAGCAGAACATTTATCAAAATTGTAATTTTGAAAATAAAAATAAAAATATATATTTTTAAAAAAAGAAGTTGATAAAGGCCTTAAAATGAAACTTTTACACTTAAGAAAATAAGCTCCCAAATAGTAAAACAGTTCAGTAAATATATAAAAAGGGAAAATTAGCTTGTTCACATAAAATACCAGCTTTTAATCTAATTTTTTTTTTTTTTTGTCCATCCATCCTTCATCTATACACCGCTTAATCCTCACGAGGGTCATGGAGGGCTGGAGTCTATCCCAGCTGACTCAGGGTGAAGGCAGGTTCACCTGGACAGGTATCCAGTCTATCACAGGGCTACACTTAGAGACAGACAACCAAGCACACTCACATTCACACCTACGGACAATTTAGAATCACCAATTAACCTCAGCATGTTTCTGGACTGTGGGAGGAAGCCGGAGAACCCGGAGAGAACCCACGCTGCACGGGGAAAACATGGAGACTCCACGCAGAAAGATCCAGGTGTCCTCACCGGGACGCGAACCGGCGACCTTCTAGCTGAGGCAATGGTGCTAACCACCGCTCCACCTTGCAGGCCCTAATTTTTTGTGATTCATGCAAAGTTGCTGCTGTAATACTGCACTTCTCTTTTAACTGAGAAGACATCCGCTCTGATGGCGATAATGGCACTTTAAATTTTAATGCCTTTCACTGCGGTTGTTTTGAACATGATTTAAACATCCCTTTTAACAAAGCTAAAACCACCCATTGGAAAATATATGATCAGAATATGATATGTCTTTCCACTTTTTTCTACACATAAAACACAGTAAAGACCACAAATGAAATGAGACAAAAGCTAATTTAAGGGTAATAGAGTTTTATTGGTAAGTTTCCCCCCAACAAGGCAGACACATCAATGTAAAAGTTGATGATGAGGTGATGAGACGGCACATTATATTTTTTTTCTTTAAATAAATGTGAAGGACACAAGTACAGGGTTAAGAGCATATGAGGCAGAAAATCGAGTTCAAGGAGCTGAAGGAGACGTTTAAGCCCTGGCCTGCTGCTGCTGCTGATAATCAGCGATTCGGCTTTCCATCACCGGCCTGAAGTGCCTGATCAATCCCTGAGAACAAGGAGGAAAGAAATTAGTTATCCTGTTTGAAATAATGCAGAAAAATATCGGCAAGTCTGTGATATAAACACACGGCAGAACGTAATAACTATAATGTAATAAGTGTAATTACTAGATGAGAACTACCGTAAATTCTGGACTATAAGCCGCTACTGTTAACATTAACATCAAGGAGAAAAAAAAACGTGTTTATTGTGGCTATTGTTTGTGAGGTTGCATTTCAGCAGCACTACAATCTAACATTAGCACTGCAGGAAGCGTATCTAACACCCTGGCACCTCTGAGTCGCTGGTTTCAGTTGCAGCGATCCCTTTCGTATGCAAAATCAGGGGAGCGCATGCATTTACCTGCACGGGCCACGCTGCTCCGTCTCCCAGAGCACAGATAGTGTGTCCCTCGATCTGCTTGCTGAGCTCCCAAATCATGTCGATTTCAGCTGGTCGGGCGTCACCGCGCACAAAACGCCACATCATGTTATTCATCCAGTCCACTCCTGCAGAAGCAAAGGGGAAATGGTGAAGTTATTTAGTTTGAAGGTGTTGCTAGAAACTCCTGTATGAGACAGGAGGTAGATTTATTTATGCTTTAAATGACGCTGTACTCACCCTCTCTGCATGGCGTACACTGGCCACAACTCTCGTGCTTGTAGAACTCGATGAGGCGAGCGATGGCTCTGATAATATCAGTCTGTGGAAAAAAACAACCCACTCATCAGGATGTTTGCCGATTGCTTTTTCGCACGATGAAATATGATGCAGAGGTGAGAAACTTACAGATTTGTCCATGACAATTAGAGCAGCTGTGCCCAGGCCAGTCTGAGCTTGAATGAGGCCATCAAAGTCCATCAGCACCTCTTCACACACTTTCTTGGGGATGAGGGGTGTTGAGGAGCCTCCGGGGATTACAGCCAGCAGGTTATCCCAGCCGCCACGCACTCCACCTACCAAACAGATGTTGGTTTCAATTAAGTTTAGGGAAAGGAGAAAAAAAAAAACTGTGTTTAGGCTCTGCTTATGTTAAGCTGTCTTAATCTTTTCAATCCATGACCCCCGCGGTGCAGGAAAACACAGACAGATGCATTCAGCTTCGCTTTCCCACAGTTTGATTATTTACAACAGGGATTTATTCATTCACTAAAATATATTTCTATATCCTACCCGTTTGATATAAATGTTTTTACTATAAACTCAAACATGATTAGATGCATTCTTAGTGTGATATGAACCTGCGTGTCTCTCAATGAGGTCCTTCAGAGGGACGGACATCTCCTCCTCTACAGTGCAGGGGTGGTTGACGTGGCCAGAGATGTTGAAGAGCTTTGTGCCGGAGTTCCTCTCCCTGCCAAAGCCCAGGAACCACGAGCCCCCACGGCGACAGATGGTGGGCGCCACGGATACCGTCTCCACATTGGCAACAGTCGTCGGGCAACCGAACACGCCTTTAAGACAGCAGAGAGGGTGACATCTGAGAATCGCTTTTATTTGGCAAGAACAAGTGTTCAGCAGCGTTCAGGTCACGGTTACTGTTAAGGGAATGTGATACAAGCCTATATATACATTTGAGAAAAAAATGTCATCCCGATGTTGTACACCCTGTTCTGCACTAGAACTCACCCACATCAGCAGGAAACGGTGGCTTCAGACGGGGCTTTCCTTGCTTTCCCTCCAGGGACTCAATAAGAGCGGTCTCCTCTCCACAGATGTACGCTCCAGCGCCGCGCATCACAAACACATCGAAGTCATAATCTGAGCCACAGGCGTTCTTTCCAATCAGCCCAGCAGCGTAGGCCTCATTGATAGCCACCTACGAACCAACAGGAAAAAAAAAAAAAACGCTCAGCACATAGTCCAGTGTGAACCCAGATAAGGCTACTCATTGTATTGAGCACAATCAACTGAACATATGTTGATTTTAGCACAACAAAAAGACTGCAAGGAGGAATTAAAAGCTGCCAAAAGTCTACCTCTGAGTTTAGATTTACGATATCTGAGCAATAGCCCTTATTAATCACACTATTCATCACATATCTCCATAAATGTACCATCCTGAGAAATATACACTAATGTAAGATATTTGCACCTGCAGGTTGGAGGACTCGTTGTAGAACTCTCCTCTGATGTAGATGTATGCAGCACGAGCCCCCATGGCCTTCCCAGCCACCAGGCAGCCTTCTACCAGCTTGTGTGGGTCGTTCCTCATGATCTCTCTGTCTTTGCAGGTGCCTGGTTCTCCCTCGTCTGCGTTCACCACCAGATACTTGGGCCTGAAGTGAGGAATTAGAGGTACCTTAAATAATGCAGCAGCGACAGTGTTGATGAGTTTAAAGCAACTTTCATAAAATTGATGTTTGGCTTTCGACAAAATATCGTTAAACTGTCAAATCCAGTTGGAGTCAATAGAAACTTCACTGGTGGCTTCTTTTAAATTTAGAACATATCTGACTTTTGTTCCTTTAAGAAGAGAAAGAAACCACGTAAACTAATGTGATTCACTTTTTAACTGCAGGCTCAGGCTTTAATGGATTCCTTCTGATGGATGCAAAGGATGGAGTTTGTGAATAATAAACATGCTGCAGAAAAACTGATGTAAACATTAAGTTGGTTGAAATATGAAGATATCAAAAGAATGCTGGTGAAATTATTGCCAACTGCAGTCATAACTCTCAAGTATGTCACCACCCAGTTGCGAAGAAGATTTCCCAGATAACCATTTAAAGCACTCACTGTGCCAATACTTCAGGGGACACTGAGGAAGACTCTACAAAAGTGCTGTGATTTCACATAAGAGCAAAATGAGAATCGATGTGTGTCTCCTCACTGACCGGCCATCGCTGGGTTTGTTCATAAAGCTCCATTTCATTCCAGTAGGGAAACCGGCTCCACCTCTCCCACGCAGACCAGAGACCTTGATCTCGTTGAGAATCCAGTCGACTCCCTTCAAAAGGATCTCCTTTGTTTTGTACCAGTCGCCACGCTTCAGCGCCCCCTTCAGCCTGAAGCACAAACATGAGCAGATGAGGATTGCAGAGTTTTTCTTTTTTTTGTTTCCCCCGTTCCTCTCTCTATGATTATGTTTAAGCGACTGCCTTAGAATACCATCAGTAGTGTTACCTCCAGTCGTGACGACCATAAAGGTTTGTGAAAATCCTATCCTCATCTGCCAGCGGTCCATATGTTGTCTTCTTAGGAGGACTCTGGAAAAACAATGCAAAATGTAAATCCTACTGCTCCCGGTCAGTTTTATAACAATTCTAACAAGCTACAGGCCAGCTACCTGTGCTGTGCTGTTGAATCGAGTGAGAGCGGTCACACCGCCTGGACTGACAGCAGCCGGGGCACGAGCCACCCCGCTTACCACCGCTCGAGACAAGGACAGCATCCTTCCTGCAGGGAAACGTTCAGGTTATTTTAGTTTAAGACAAAACGTAAGGAAATCACAGGTTCAAACATAGTTAAAGCAGAAAAGGGTGCAGCTGCACACCTCAACAGAGCTGTTGGTTATCATACTGGGTGTGTGATTCAAATATCAATCATAATCTACATGAAAAAAACAGCAATCACTAAAACATTTCTCTCAGAGAGTCTACAGCTGGGTATTTAACAGACGATTACATAATTAGTGGTCACTCATTAAATTATCCTCCAACTATTTTGATAGTAAATTATTCAGTTTAAGTACATTTTTAGAAAAGAAAAGTCTCAATTCTCTTACTACCACATATTCATTTAGACTATTTTGTACTTTCTTGACTCCTCTATGACACTAAATAGGATATCTTTGGACAAAAAGACGACATTTGAGGACGTCATCTTGTGCTTTGGGAATTTTTCACTATTTTCTGACATTCTAAAGACCAAACAACCAATCGTTTAATCAAGAATATAATCAAAATATTACACTCTCTTTAAAATAACCATGAGTCGCAGCCCTAGTGATGAACTTTCTGATCATATGTCTGTGAAAACCTGTTAAATAATGAAGGGCTGCATCAAACCGTGAGGTCAAATTCTTTCTCTTCTTTCTGCTTTGTTTAAATATTTGTTTATCAGTGATTCAAGGGAACATTTTCCTGCTTTTAGACTTTGATTTATTCAGGCAAAGCTCTGACACAGATGCTTGTGTTATGATGACATTTAACAAGGGAAAAGTTAAGTTAAAGCTTTTTTATTGGAGGAAAACTGTTTTAGTAAAAAAAAAAAAAAAACATGTTCATACTTCTTAAATACGACATGGATAAAAGTATAGATTTTGTTTTAATACCAAAAACATTGAAGCATTCGTATTAAAATGTTGATGATGCCCACATACATGTCTTCAAATTGATTATAAATGTATTTGAAATAGTTAGAAGTAGTCATTACTGTAAATAACACATTTATTCCCCTATATATCCAGTGCTATTATTAGACAATCATAATATGTAGTATTCCGATTACTGTAATGTGTATTTTAATGGTAATATCAACTGAAAACTATTAAAAAATATATAAATCACTGGCTTAAATGTAGTCCTAACAAAAATGCCAAACATCCAGAAGCATCAAAACAAGAGCAGCTACGCAAAACTCACTCTCATGTTTACATTTTTATTTCAACAAGACACATTTAACTAATGCTAATTGTTGTTTTTGTGGCGATCAAAACTAGATATCTCAATTAAATATTTGTAAAAGTGTAATAACTCAGAGACATGCAGCGCCGCTTGCTTATGTGATGTTGTTATGTCAGCGCTAGCAGTTAGCTAACGAAGGTGAAGAACGCTAACATGCTACATATCCTCCACTAACCAGCGCTCCTGTGGTGTTATTTTGAGCCAGCACACTAGTAAATAAATTATATAGTGCATGATAAAGCCGAATTGTTTTGCCTCGCTTGTGTGCGACGATGATTAGAGCACACACTGACCTCCATGCTACTGCTAGCCGAAGCTAAGCTAGCTAGCGGTTAACCTTGTCATGTCAGAATAAACGCAGCAGGTAAAACTCACACCGACAGCAGGTGAGTTAGTTATTCAGCACCACAAGCAGCATTAAAAGTAAACAAAACACAAAAGCGTTGAGGTAAGTCAGCAGACACTCGGTGCTCTTTACCTTCTCTCTGCGTCCTGAGTTTATGAAATGCAGTTGTACCGGAAGCGCAGCTCTCGGACCGGAAACAGTCACCGACGGACTGCTAGTGCTGCGGAGCTCATTTATACCGACCGAGAAGAACGATTTCATAACTGCACACTGTCCTTACGAAAGGTCTGTGGGCCTGTGTTTTAATTTGTTTTCAGGTTTAGGGAGAATTATTGCATCTTGAACCCCATGTGGCAGCCATGAAGATTATTACTGAGCAACAGTAAGACTTTCGGTGATCACCTTAAAGTCCCTGACAAAATAAAATACACTGTTATGTACGACAGGGACACTTACACAATAT